TTCCCTGGTGGCGGGGGAGACTTAAGATTGTGTTGTGTTGGTGTGTTGTGGCCGCTGCTACCTGCTCATTTTGTCTCAAATGACACCACCATGAGCAAGGGCATACGTAACTTGGTGTCTAAACGAAAGAGAAGGTTCAAAGAAGATGGCTACGACCTGGATCTTAGCTGTATCCTTTTGTAATGGCGGAGAAAAGTGTCGACACGAGAGGGAATCTCAGTCGCTCTAGTTTTGGATTTGGCTTGCAATTTCACACTCAGTGACCTATTAAACTTATATTTCGAGGTGGATGCTCGTGTTGAGGTGGAAATGTCAGTGTTTGGTGGTGGGGAGGCCAGTGGAGCGTTATGGAAGGCAGTGTTACAGTGAAGTGCAGTGACAAGTTGATAATTAATGGAAAACCTCTCTGGCCTTGAGGGAAAGAGGCAGAGGAGAGTTTAAAGCTTCACCATCACAGCAACACCACTACAGCATCTTGTAGCGGCGCATCTCTTGATGCTCATACCTTAACTCACACCTTAACTAACACACCTTAACTAACACACCTTAACTAACACCTTAACTCACACACCTTAACTCACACACCTTAACTAACACACCTTAACTAACACCTTAACTAACACACCTTAACTAACACCTTAACTCACACCTTAACTAACACACCTTAACTAACACACCTTAACTAACACACCTTAACTAACACACCTTAACTAACACCTTAAGTAACACACCTTAACTAACACACCTTAACTAACACACCTTAACTAACACACCTTAACTCACAACCCACACACACACCTTAACTCACACCCACCCAGACACACCTTAACTCACACCCACCCACACACACACCTAACTCACACCCACCCACACACACACCTTAACTCACACCCACCCACACACACATTAACTCACACCCACCCACCCACCACACACCTTAACTCCCACCTACACTCCCACACCTTAACTACTTTAGTCTTAAAGTTAACCTGGACCATCACACACCTGTACACGTACCAACACACCTGTGCTTGTACCAATGCACCTGTATACGTACCAACACACACTTGTACTCGTGCCAACACACCTGTACTCGTAGCTACATATGCCTGTACCCATACCCACCCACATTTGTACCCAATCCCACCCATATATTTGTACACATACCCACCTACACATACCCATACCCACCCACATTTATACCCATACCCACCCACAACATTTATACCCATACCCACCCACACATACCCATACCCACCCACACATTTATACCCATACCCACCCACACATTATACCCATACCGACCCACACATACCCATACCCACCCACATATTTATACTCATACCCACCTAACCACATTTGTACCCATACCCACCCACACATTTGTACCCATACCCACTCATCTCTGCCCATACACACCCACATACCTGTGCCTATACCCACCCACCTGTACCTATACCCACCCACCTGTACCTATACCCCATCCACACATTTACCTATACCCACACACAACTTGCATCACTGCCCACCTCCATATACACCTGCACCAATGCCCACCTCCATATACACCTGCACCAATGCCCACCTCCATATACACCTGCACCAACACCCACCCCCACATACATCTGCACCAACACCCACACACCTGCACCAACACCTACATACACCTGCACCAACACCCACCCACACACCTGCACCAACACCCACCCCCACATTCACCTGCACCAACACCCACACACCTGCACCAACACCTACATACACCTGCACCAACACCCAACCATGCATGCACATGCATCAACACCCCACCCCTACATACACCTGCACCACCCCCACATACATCTGCATTAACACCCACCCACACATACACCTGTATCAACACTCACCCACATGCACCTGCACCAACACTCACCCACACATACACCTGCACCAACACCCACACCTACAGACACCTGCACCAACACCCACACCTACAGACACCTGCACCAACACCCACGCCTACAGACACCTGCACCAACACCCACCCACACTTCACCAACACTCACATACACCTGCACCACATACACCTGCACCAACACCCACCCCCACATACACCTGCACCAACACCCACATTACATACACCTGCACCAACACCCACATCTACATACACCTGCACCAACACCCACATCTACATACACCTGCACCAACACCCACATCTACATACACCTGCACCAACACCCACATCTACATACACCTGCACCAACACCCACATCTACATACACCTGCACCAACACCCACATCTACATACACCTGCACCAAACACCCACATCTACATACACCTGCACCAACACCCACATCTACATACACCTGCACCAACACCCACATCTACATACACCTGCACCAACACCCACATCTACATACACCTGCACCAACACCCACATCTACATACACCTGCACCAACACCCACATCTACATACACCTGCACCAACACCCACATCTACATACACCTGAAAACCAACTCATACAGCACCAACATCTACATACACCTGCACAACACACATCTACATACACCTGCACCAACACCCACATCTACATACACCTGCACCAACACCCACATCTACATACACCTGCACCAACACCCACATCTACATACACCTGCACCAACACCCACATCTACATACACCTGCACCAACACCCACCCACATACACCTGCAACAACACCCACCCCTACATACACTGCAACAACACCCACCCTACATACACCTGCAACAACACCCACCCCTACATACACCTACACCAACACCCACACCTACACCTGCAACAACACCCACACCTTCATACACCTGCACCAACATCCACCCACACATATATCTGCACCAACACCCATCAACACATACACCTGCACCAGCACTCGCCCCCACCCTCACATACACCTGCACTAACACCCACCCTGACATACACCAGCACCAACACTCACCCCCCACATACACCTGCAGCAATACCCACTCACACATACACATGTACCAACACCCACCCCTACATACACCTGTAACCAACACCCACCTCTACATACACCTGTACCAACACCCACATCTACATATACCTGCACCAACATCTACATACACCTGCACCAACACCCACATCTACATACACCTGCACCAACACCCACATCTACATACACCTGCACCAACACCCACATCTACATACACCTGCACCAACACCCACATCTACATACACCTGCACCAACACCCACATCTACATACACCTGCACCAACACCCACATCTACATACACCTGCACCAACACCCACCCACATACACCTGCAACAACACCCACCCCTACATACACCTGCAACAACACCCACCCCTACATACACCTGCAACAACACCCACCCCTACATACACCTACACCAACACCCACACCTACACCTGCAACAACACCCACACCTTCATACACCTGCACCAACATCCACCCACACACATATCTGCACCAACACCCATCAACACATACACCTGCACCAGCACTCGCCCCCACCCTCACATACACCTGCACTAACACCCACCCTGACATACACCAGCACCAAACACTCACCCCCACATACACCTGCAGCAATACCCACTCACACATACACATGTACCAACACCCACCCCTACATACACCTGTACCAACACCCACCTCTACATACACCTGTACCAACACCCACCCCTACATACACCTGTACCACACCCACCCCTACATACACCTGCACCAACACTCACCCCACATACATCTGCACCAACACTCACCCCCACATATACCTGTGCCCACACAAACCCAAACAGTAAAGCTGAACCTGTACCCACATCAATACCATTCACCTGTACCCACCCCCACACCTAGAACTATTCACTTGTACCCCACACAACTGCACATACACCCACATATACACACACCTGTATTTATATACCCAGCCCATACTCTTATACCTATGCAACTGTATCCATACATCCATTAATACATAGCCCATACACTCGCTTATACATCTAGACCCATTATCCACCCATACACCAGCAGCCATATACTTATCCATACATCTGGATCTATATACTTATACTTACACCCGGTCATACACTCATCCAAATACCCATCTATATACCTGGACAAACGCCTGTACCCATACACCCACCCATTAACCTGGAACCATACACTTACCCATATACAGAACCCTCAACCACACACACACCACAACCAAAACTCCACAATCACAAAATAGAACAACCACAGAACACCACAACCACAAAACTCCACAACCACAAAACTCCACAACCACAAAACTCCACAGCCTTACAAACCAGACAACAGCCATAAAACCCCACACAACACCACAACCCCACACAAAATCACAACCACACGGCACCACAGCCTCATAGAACACCACAACCCCACACATCACAGCCCCACACACCACAACCCCACATACCACCACAACCCCACATACCACCACAACCCCACATACCACCACAACCCCACACCACCACAACCCCACACCACACAACCCCCATACCCCACAACCCCACTCACACAACCCCACATACCACCACAACCCCACATACCACCACAACCCCACATACCACCACAACCCCACATACCACCACAACCCCACATACCACCACAACCCCACATACCACCACAACCCCACATACCACCACAACCCCACATACCACCACAACCCCACATACCACCACAACCCCACATACCACCACAACCCCACATACCACCACAACCCCACATACCACCACAACCCCACATACCACCACAACCCCACATACCACCACAACCCCACATACCACCACAACCCCACATACCACCACAACCCCACATACCACCACAACCCCACATACCACCACAACCCCACACAGCACAACCCCACACAGCACAACCCCACACAGCACAACCCCACACAGCACAACCCCACACACACAACCCCACACACCACCACAACCCCACAACCCACACACACCACAACCCACACACCACCACAACCCCACACACCACCACAACCCCACACACCACCACAACCCCACACACCACCACAACCATTCATACAACAGCACAAACCCAAACACACGCACAACACCACAACCCCACACACAGCCCCACACACAACACAACCACACAGACAACACAACCACACACACAACACAACACAACCACACAGACAACACAACCACACACACAACACCACACAACACAACACCACAACTGCACATAGCACAGTCACATACAACAGAATCACACATAGCACAACCATACACACCACAAAAAAGCACACACCACAACCCTACACACACAGCACCACAACTACACACACACAGCACTACTCAACACACCACCACAACTACACACATCACTACAACCACACACACGTACCACAACCCCCACACACCACTACATCCACACACTACCACAACCACACACTACCACAACCACACACATCACAACCACACACATCACAACCACACACATCACAACCACACACATCACAACCACACACATCACAACCACACACATCACAACCACACACATCACAACCACACACACCACAACCACACACCACAACCACACACACCACAACCACATACACCACAAGCACATAAAACATTACAAACACACCACAACCACACAAAACACCACAACCACAATCATGGTCTGGAATGATATTGTTCCAGACTATGGAGCTCAACTTTTCTCCAGGATGAGGGATTGACCACCTCAAATACTATTTCTCCAAGGTTGATGGACTGATGACATCACCTTTATTTTACTACTACACCTGCTGCCTCTGTATTGGACTGAAGAAGATTTTTGTATAATCAACAACTTGTCTATATTGTATACCATTTTTAACATAACAGGTTGAGTTTCTGTACCTTCCTGTAGCAGCTTAACTTTTGACAAAGATTGTTTCAGCAGTCATGATATTCTTTAGCCTTCTTTGTAAGAATTTGCATATTCAGTGATCAAAAAGTACTATATTGGTAAATATTATATTTTTAAGCATAGATCAGCCGTCATTTGTGAAGTGTAATAGAGTGCTGGGATTGAAGAGTTATTCACTGCATTTGTGGTAAAATGTGGTACAGTATGTACAAGTATATTACAAACAGGTTATGTATGTATTACTTGAAACGAGAATCTTTACTCTGGGGTTGTTTTATTTTTTGACTTTTGAGTTTGTATTAATTTGAATGTTTCATTGCACATTTTATGTATTATTTTGAATTTGTTTCGTTTTATATTGAATTACTGTACTCTTTATCGTGCATGTTAGAAACTGTTAATTCAAAATTTGGCGTTGTGAACCTTAACATTTGTAACCAGATATCACAGATCGTCTAATTGCCATGGGCTTCCCTGCTCAGAAGTTAGAGGGCGTATACAGAAATCACATTGACGATGTATGCCGCTTTTTAGAAGAGAGACACAAGGACCATTATAGAATATATAATTTGTAAGTAAATGCTGATTAAATATTATGTCATTACTGTTTGCAAATTTAATTTTAAGCTGACTACTGTTCAAAATACCTGATATCATACCTATATCAGTTACCTATAGTCAGATTTTTGGTTTAGCGCTTCTTTTTGATTATAATAATAATATAGTCAATTTTGGTGGTCATTGCCCCTGCAGCCTGGTCCCTGGTGATGTGTTTAGAACCTCTGCACTAGATTTAGAAACAACTAATGGACCCCTGACTTGTTTTAAAGGGAATTTGATAAGTACCTTAAGTAAGTTCCTGATCAGCCAGGCTGTGGTGCTTATGCTGGACCAGCTGCCTGACTGATCAGACCATCAACCAGGAAGCCAGGTCAGGGACCGGGTACTGATGATGACCAGAATCAAGAACAGGTACACAACAGGCAGAAAGCTGTGAAAATTCATACATGCAGTAAAAAGAATTGTGTTAATTTCCTGAACAATGGCTGTGAGAATAACAATTAGTGGTCATAAGACTGAGCCTCCAACACACTGTGCTAAGTGACCCATACCTCATATAAGTTAAATTTTATAAATTTTCTTTGAATTTTTAGATGCTCGGAGAGAAATAGATGTTACGATGCAGCAAGATTCCATAACCGTGTTAGAACTTTTCCATTTGCTGACCACAATCCTCCTCCTTTGATTGACATCGAGCCGTTGTGTAAAGACATGGCAGATTGGCTCAACGAAGATCAGAAAAATGTGGCTGTCGTGCACTGTAAGGCCGGAAAGGTAAGTTAAACTTGCAGGAATGTGTGCTCCAAACCCTCATGGAGACATAAATTAAACAGTTTAGGAAGGCTGTGTATTCCAACCTTCATCTTAGATTGTCTTGGTTATTAAGGTTGATCATAATAATCCCCTTCAGACATAGCTCTGTATGATACCAAGTTTATTTGGTGAAATAAAAGATGTAGATATAGTGAGAGAAGTGCTAATAATGAGAAGAAAGGGATGTAGAGGAAGTTAAAGTAGGATGAAAGCTAGAAAAAGGTTGTTAGAGTACCTTAACCTGGTATGTAAATATACAGAGATAAAAGTACAGTATTCAGATTATATTGTAACACTGAATAACACACACGGCCTTAGCACTTTGTTGTGACTATAATAGATTTTATTTGTATGTTATGTAATAAGTATAGGCACATATATCAGAAACACTGCTGGGACAAGTATAGAAGTCTTGAAGAAGAAATTGGACAGGTATCTTCACCAGGTGCCAGATCAACCAGGCTGTGATGGATATGTGGGTAGGCAGAGCACCACAAGCAACAGCCTGGTTGAGCAGGCAAACACCAGACTAGCCTGGCCTATGGCTGGGCTCTGGGAGTGGAAAAACTGTCAGAACTCATCAAAGATATATCAAAGAGAATGCTCTTAGATAATCTTAAGAGTTTGTCAAGGGGTTAACTAAAGCCTGGTCCCAGACCAGGTCATGGACTGAGCCACCAGAGTGTTGGCCCCCAAATCTCCCTCCAGATAGACCCTTCATATAGCAGGTTGATCTGGCTGCAAGGCTAGAAAAACACTAGAAACCCATCACAGGTATACAGTAAAACACAGTGGAATAAGGATGAAGGGGTAAAATGAGCTAAGTGGTAGATACAGGAACAAGTGTGAATTAGAAGTGGATACATAAGGTGAATACTGAATATAAATATGGCACAGGTAGAAAGGAGAAGCAGATAGATAGATAGATAGAGAGAGAGAGAGAGAGAAAGAATATTGGTTGACCAGGCAGTCAGTAAGGAAGCCTGGATTCATGTTAGACAAAAATAAAACAACTCTCAAAACTGCCTTGTAGATTCCATGTACCTAATACAATAGTATACAAACTACTGTGTTATCAGTATAGAGTATTGCAAAGCCTTCCCTACTATAAAGTGTATACCATTTTCTAAATTATTATTATTTCTATTTGAAAGCTGAAATTATGGTACACTGTATGGTAGTACTGTTCTATATTTCAGTTTAATATAATTACTACCTCTATTTTAATTTTTTATTGCAATTACACATATTACAATTGAAATTCACATCTAACTTGACAACCATTTTTAATGCAGTGCAAAAAAAAATTAGTATGATCAAAGTAATTGCTATAATCATTATTAAACTGCTATTCCTGTCAATTTGATTATTGCAACTGTTGTTAAATTCCTGTAGCTATTGTTATCACATTTATTATTTTAAATTTTATCATATTAGGGTAACTTAGGGAAATGTCTATAATATTAGTTGTTGTTAAGGAACATTTTTTCAGCGCTCTCAAGAAAAATTTGAAAAATTATGAAAATGAGTTATTCATATAGAAAAATAGCTTAACTCTTTGGCAACACAATGGTACAAGAATCAATGTTCTACAACGTTTCTACAAGAAATTATAGTCATTTATATCAGGTATGGTGGCGGCGATGTAGGTAGCGCGTCTGTTCTCAACCCATGTATTTTTTGGAATTTTTTCCTTTTTTTTATCGCTTTTTCTTTGCATTATTCTTTCTAATATAATAATTGATTATTTGGCATCATATAAGAGTAGGTGGAGCTTATCAATAGACGTCTAGCCTATCGGGAAGCACCTAGGTACACTCGGCAGTGCTCCCTCTCCAGAGAGTGCCAGGTGAAATCACTTCATTATTACGCTTATATCAGCTTATATATTAACTATACGGCTTATTTATCTATCAGAATTGATCTAATATGATATAATAATCACTGTAAATAACAAACAAACATGTTATATACTCTAGACTGAATAAAATAGGCCATAATATAGCGAGAGTCCACCAGCAATATCTCGATATAAAAAAGTTACTCCTCGTCTCCATGTTGTATTGTTTGGTCTGTGAGTGAGAGAAAATGATGTTTTGAAGAGGATAACTGCACTAGAACATCAGTTTACTAAGAAATACACCGAAACAAACGCGATTTTCACGAAAAAAGAAAATGTTTTTTTTGACGGTAGGCCTGCCAGCGTTCTAGGCCTATATCTCGGAAGTAACTTATTCACTTGTTTCGCTAACCAGCACCATTATTAACCCTTTGAGGGTCGACAGGCCCTCTCAGAAACTCGTTCTCAGGGTCGGCCAAATTTAAAAAAAAAAAAATTATTTTTTCTTATGAAAAGATAGAGAATCTTTTCCCGATCATAATGACACCAAAATTATGAGATTTGATGGAAAACTTACGGAATTATGCTCTCGCGAAGTTAGCGGTCTCGGCGATGTTTACGCATCGGCGATTTTGCCCAATTTAAGCCCCATTTTTGGCCAATTCCTCTGTACTAGTCGACAAACAACATGAATATTTCGCTAGAACTACATTTTTTCTATTGAATGAGTGCAAGAAACCACCCATTTACCATTTTCAACTATCCAATACAGTGGTCAGAATTTAGCAGTTTTGCCAATTTCACACAAATTTCAAAAAATGCCAATTTCCGAATAGTGTCCAGAACAAACAAGAAATACATTCCTGGCACTAAAATGACATTTCTTCTGCTCATTAGTCACGTCTCAAGGCCCCTCTTACATTCTTTTGCTTTCCACTTTGAATTTTTATTCTCACGAAAAATAGAAGATTTACTGTTATGCAGACTACTGCATTAGTGTAAAAAATGATATAAATCATATTGGCGCAATTGCAAAAGAATGTTAGACTCAACAGTTGACGTGTATTGGATGCTTGGCATGATTTGTTTACTTTTGAACTTTGGTAAAAATCGAACATTTCTGCTACTTTGAGCTCAATTTCAAGGTACTTTTCATTGTAAAACCAGTAAAAATCATCTCAATTTCTGTGATATGCATTCCATTCTATAAAATGAGACCAAGAAAACTAGAATACAACAATAAATACCATACAAAAATACAGTGCAAAGACGCTGTTTTATGCCAAAAAAAACGTGAAAGTTTTTTTTTCTCATTATGCACTGTGTGCTGCAGGATTTTTTTTTATACTGTGCACACTGACCACATAGACCCATTCTTTCATATGGAGGCCTACCAGCCTCTTCCCGCGAGATTTGACGGCGCTAGAATTTATGCGTACTAGTACGTCAAAAACCCCTACGCGTAAGATGTACTAGTACGACCAAAACCCTCAAGGGGTTAATGATTGTATTGAAATGATTTTCACAGACAATATAAAACAGTGTGTTTTAAATTTTAATGATAGATTTTTTGGAATATCTCAAATATTTTTGATTTTGTGGGGGTAAAAGGCAGATATTTTGGTGAATGCCAAAAATTGTCAAATGTATTTTTTTTTACCATGATAATAAGATATATTAGATGAAATGGCAATGTAAAAAATTCGTGCTAGTTGTATTCTAACAGTTGGGAATGTCGGAAGTGCCACTCGTAGTGCCAATTTGTCGGGATGCTGCCATATATCAAAATTATGTTAATATTTTTTTTTATGTTGTTTGTTGGCCAATCATACTGAAACTTTGTCACATTAAACTATATATGCACCTCTAAAAGTACACCAAAAATAAAATAAATCGGTTGAAAACAAAAATATATTCCCGCCTCCCCCCTTAAGTACTGAATAGGTTGCTCAAGTGTACAGTAACCTACTACGTATTACATTTCTTTCCTTGTAGTTTTACTGTAATTGTAGTCTTTTTTTTAAATTAATGGTTAAATAGAAATTTAAAGTTTTTATTGCATATCTTCCAATAGGGCCGAACTGGTGTTATGATATGTTGCTACTTACTGCACTGCCGATTCAAGATTTTAGCACAAGACGCTTTGGATTTTTATGGAGATAAAAGAACTTTTGATAGAAAAGTAGGTACCAGTATTTATCTTGTTTACAGTACTAAAGCTGTAAATTGTATTGTACAGTGTTTATAATGTTATCATGTGATAATGCAGTCATTATTAATACAAATTTCTTTTTTTGCAGGGAGTAACTATACCTAGCCAAAGAAGATATGTGGAGTACTATGCTAAACTAGTCACCTCAAACTTCAATTACAATCCACCTTATGTACGTCTCAGGGAAGCCAGAATGACTGCACCATTATCCAGTGTAAATTCAGGTTGGTTGTGTTATGTAGCCACACTTTTGTGAATGCATTGTTTTTATAATGTATTGGAACAAATATTAACCTCTAAATTACTTGTATTTTGAATGTCTTATTAGACATGTATATCAAAATTGTGATTTGACTCGAACCTAATTTTATTGGGGGAAACCTGTGAAATTATTTACCAGACTAGGTCATAATTTTCTCCATCCTGCATTTATTGTTGATTGGGGGTCACTTCATCCTACAATAGTTTTATATGCATTGTTGCTTCTGCAATGTTAAATTGACTCCAAAAGTCTGGCACACTTTTTTTCTGCGTTGGTATGATGGTCTCCTGCACTTATGGTTAAATCACTCCTTAGTTCAGTGGTTGTATCAGAGATGTATTTGGTTGTAAAAACACAGCCTTACCATTTGGGTCCACAGACTGCAAGAGTTGAAAATAGCTGTGGGAATTATCAAGAGTTGAGGATAGCTGTTGGACTCCAAGAGTTGAGGAGAACCTGAATGAAAGATTCTTTCTGGCCAGGTGCTGCTTCAGTGCAGGAATACTATAAGGGTTGGCCGACTCAGTAAACAAGGCCTTTCATCTATGCTATGTTGTTAGACCACCAAATAATAGGCAAAGTGGTTTTGTATTTACTTTTACAGCAAGGGTATTCTGTGAGCAATAAATAAACATTGGCTTGCACTTAAAAATCACCTGTTACATTAGTATACAGTGGAAACCTTAATTGACCTTTTGCTGCCTTGAATCCAGATGCACTCTTCTCTGCCTTGTTTGTGAACATTATAGATATCATCTCGTTCTAAAATAATTTTGTCTCATCAGCATTAAACATTTGCTCAGGTTTGTAGCCATTCTCAGAAGTAAGTACCTCTGACTTAGCAAGGAAATTTCTTATGCCTGTGTGGTCAGCAGACACACTTTTCCCACTAAACATTATATTATGCAGCTAACTTCGCACTCTAAAATAATGTGATTGGTGATTAGTATTTAGAAGTGAAGTACAGTGGACCCCCGGTATTCGATATTAATCCGTTCCTGAGAGTTCATCGAATACCGATAATATCGAAAACCGAATCAATTTTCCTCATAAGAAATAATGGAAATCAAATTAATCCGTGCAAGACACCCAAAAGTATGAAAAAAAAATTTTTACTATATGGAATATTAAGTTTAATGCAATAGAATAATAATAAAATAATTGACACTTACCTTTAATGAAGATCTGGTGATGATTGATGGGATGGGAGGAGGGGAGAGATGTTAGTGTTTAGAAGGGGAATCCCCTTCCATTAGGACTTGAGGTAGCAAGTCCTTTTCCGGGGTTACTTCCCTTCTTCTTTTAATGCCACTAGGACCAGCTTCAGAGTCACTGGATTTCTGTCGCACAACATATCTGTCCATAGTGGCCTGTACCTCCCGTTCCTTTATGACATCCCTAAAGTGTTTCACAACATTGTTAGTGTAATAGTCACCAGCACGGCTTGCAATAGCTGTGTTAGGGTGATTGTCATCAAAAAAGGTTTGCACTTTAAGCCACATTGCACACATTTCCTTAATCTTTGAAGTAGGCAACTTCTTCAATTTCTCTATCCCCTCCTCCGAAGCAGTTTCCTCAGGTCTGCCCTCTTGCTGTTCAAGATGATCTATCAGCTCATCAGTGGTTAGTTCTTCACTGTCCTCCTCCACCAACTCTTCCACATCCTCCCCACTAACCTCCAACCCCAAGGACTTCCCCAATGCCACAATGGATTCCTCAACTGGCATAGGATTCTCAGGGTTAGCCTCAAATCCTTCAAAATCCCTTTTGTCTACACATTCTGGCCACAGTTTTTTCCAAGCAGAGTTCAAGGTCCTTTTAGTCACTCCCTCCCAAGCCATATCTATCAGGTTTATACAACTGAGGATATTAAAGTGATCCTTCCAAAACTCTTTTAGAGTCAGTTGAGTTTCTGTGGTCACTATAAAGCACTTTTGAAACATAGCTTTTGTGTACAGTTTCTTGAAGTTGGAAATGACCTGCTGGTCCATGGGCTGCAGGAGAGGAGTGGTATTAGGAGGCAAAAACTTGACCTTAATGAAGCTCATGTCCCCAGAAAGTCGCTCTGACAAGTCTGTAGGATGACCAGGGGCATTGTCTAATACCAGGAGGCACTTAAGGTCTAATTTCTTTTCAGTTAGGTAATTTTTCACAGTGGGGGCAAATGCATGGTGTAACCAGTCATAGAAAAAGTCCCTAGTGACCCATGCCTTACTGTTTGCCCTCCACAGCACACACAAATTAGCCTTGAGGACATTGTTTTTCCTGAACACTCTGGGAGTTTCAGAGTGATACACCAATAAAGGCTTTGCTTTGCAATCACCACTAGCATTGGCACACATCAACAGAGTAAGCCTGTCTTTCATAGGCTTATGTCCTGGGAGTGCCTTTTCCTCCTGAGTAATGTAGGTCCTGCTTGGCATTTTCTTCCAAAACAGGCCTGTTTCGTCGCAATTAAACACTTGTTCAGGTTTCAGTCCTTCACTGCCTATGTAATCCTTGAATTCCTTCACATATTTTTCAGATGCTTTTTGGTCCGAACTGGCAGCCTCACCATGCCTAATCACACTATGTATGCCACTACGATTCTTAAATCTTTCAAACCAACCTTTGCTGGCCTTAAATTCACTCACATCACCACTATTTGCAGGCAGTTTCTTTACCAAATCGTCATGCAACTGCCTAGCCTTTTCACAAATGATCGCTTGAGAGATGCTATCTCCTGCTATCTGTTTTTCATTTATCCACACCAATAACAATCTCTCAGCATTTTCTAACACTTGCGGTCGCTGTTTCGTAATCACAGTTGCACCTTTTGCAAGAACAGCTTCCTTGATTGCCGTTTTCCTGGTCACTATAGTAGAGATGGTTGATTGGGGTTTATTATACAACCTAACCAGCTCCGACATACGCACTCCACTTTCGTACTTTGCAATTATCTCTTTCTTCATTTCATAAGTCATTAGTGACTTTTTTCTTGAAGGGTTGGCACTAGAAGCTTTCTTGGGGCCCATGGTGACTTATTTTGCAGAAACAAGCACCAAACACAGTGATAATATGGATAATATGGAATGTACTGAATGTATCCTTAGATGCGCACACACTGGCTGGCTTGTAAACACTGGCACACAAGGGGCAGTTCAGGCCACACGTGGACACGTCTTGTACGAATCGTATCGAATACCGGGTTTTCAATCGAATACCGAGGAAAATTTTTTGCGATAAAATGTATCAAATACCGGATTTATCGAATACCGATGCCATCGAATACCGGGGGTCCACTGTACCAGTAGTTGCTAGTGAGGTAGTTACTGACACTGGTGCAAGTCTCTGGGATAGTGGTAACTAGTCTGGGATAGTGGTAACTAGTCTGGGATAGTGGTAGCTAGTCTGGGATAGTGGTAGCTAGTCTGGGATAGTGGTAGCTAGTCTGGGATAGTGGTAGCTAGTCACAATGCTTGAGAAGAATCTGCTTTATTTAGTTAATATTTCCTGGTGGGTCATTTTCTGTTTTTAGCCTTGTTTCATAAAATTTTGTGCATGGAGATACTCTACTCAATACAAATATAAATCTTGATTTTAAAATTGATGTATAAAACATACAATAATCCGAAGGCTCATAGGATACATAGCATTTCAGGCAAAACTTAGCCTATATTGTACTTAAAATTTGCATAGTTTCATTTTTTATATTTAAGGTTCCATTACATGGTATTAATATGAATTTAAAAAATAGCTACAAGGTAATTCATAAACCCACATCCATAAGTTGTGTCAAGACACGTCCTTCTTCCTTGTAAGAGTTCAAAGGTTCGAACCTATAGCATTACACATAAACTTTTGTTTGTATCGATCATAAAAAAAAAAATTAAATTCATAAAATAACAAAAAAGAGTAAAAAATAATTTTTTTTTAACTTTTTCCCCATTTTTCAGAGGTGTATCTGGTAATAAGTTCCCATAGTAACAAAAAAGGCTACAGCTCGCAGCAATGTGATGTGCGGAAAGGCAAGGAAACTATATATCTACCTGTGAAAGATGAAGTAGCCAGACCTATTTCAGGGGATATCAAGATTGAGCTAAAAAGAACCAACTTTGTTAGACGAACGGTTGGTAAATGTGTTGTTGCCCAAGCATTTATTATTTAATATATTTGTTAGTAATTATAACAGTGTTTCATGTTTACTGTATATTGTTTTCTTCACTTTTTATAAACTAAAAAATCAGCTTTGTTGTCATTTTTGTCTGCATGTATGTCATCTTGGTGACTTTTTTGCCTTTGTTTTGCTTACCATTGTATTTACCTTTACTGTTTTAGAAACATTTTTAAGATTATAGACTACAGTGGTGCTCATTGTGGTCTTCCCATAGTAACTCTAGCAGACTCTCACAGCCTTAACATCAATGATTACAATTAATCTTCCCATAGTAACTCTAGCAGACTCTCACAGCCTTAACATCAATGATTACAATTAATCTTCCCATAGTAACTCTAGCAGACTCTCACAGCCTTAACATCCATGATTACAATTAATCTTCCCATAGTAACTCTAGCAGACTCTCACAGGCTTAACATCCATGATTACAATTAATCTTCCCATAGTAACTCTAGCAGACTCTCACAGGCTTAACATCCATGATTACAATTAATCTTCCCATAGTAACTCTAGCAGACTCTCACAGCCTTAACATCCATGATTACAATTAATCTTCCCATAGTAACTCTAGCAGACTCTCACAGGCTTAACATCCATGATTACAATTAATCTTCCCATAGTAACTCTAGCAGACCCCCATAGCCTTAACATCCATGATTACAATTAATCTTCCCATAGTAACTCTAGCAGACTCTCACAGCCTTAACATCAATGATTACAATTAATCTTCCCATAGTAACTCTAGCAGACCCCCATAGCCTTAACATCCATGATTACAATTAATCTTCCCATAGGATTGCTTCCTTTAGCAAATACTGGATCAGCCAGGTTGTGATGACTATGTGGGGCTGTAGGCTACAGGTAGCAATAGCCTGGCTGATCAAGCCATTACCAGGCAAGCCTAGCCACAGGTCTGGCTGCTGGAGCAGCCTGAAGCTAGTCACTGGTATGTCATGGGTAACTGGTATACTACAGTACCTACCAAGATTTTCCTTCACAGGCTGTGGTAGAAAATAGTCTTTGGCCATTTTATTTATCAAGTGAAAATAACTTTTGAATGTTGACTAAATGATGATGCTTAATTACCTTGATATAATGTCTTATATGTTTGATTGTATTTTTCAGGACAAATTATTCAGCGCCTGGCTAAATACACACTTTATATTTGAGGAAGGCAAAAAGCTAACAAATGGATGCGAAATTACTGCATCTGACCAAAATAATCATAATACCTGCACTACACAAAATATTAGACAAAGGTAAGAACTTTATCATAAAACTCACTTTCTCACACTTACCTGATATTAATTATGCAGTTTTTTGCTTACCACTTCCCTTTTATTACAAGGTTATTCTCAAAGCTAAGAGCTCACAATTGATATTCAGTACTTTAGAAGCACATAAGAGGTTTTATTGATCATTGGTGTGTTCCTGTACTCTGTATATGGTGCAGGATATATTTTTGGTGATGTTTGTACAATTTATATATTCAACTTTTAATTCAGGGATTATTAAACAGAAATAATTTCAGTGTCAGTTTTAAAGTCTGGATAGTATTAGTTTGCAGTATTAATTTGCTTATTTTAATTTAAAAACAGTAAAGTGATACAGTAGCTCTGTACATGTACTAAAGACTTTAAATTATGTAATTGTAGATAATGAAGAGTTTGTTATACACAAGTATTTCTTAACCCTTAAACGGTCCAAACGTATATATACGTTTTTTCAACATTTGAAAGTATGTAAAAAAATGTAGATCTTCATCTTTTTTTTTCATTTGAAAATGTGTAAACATTTTTTTTATCTACATGTGTTTTTTTGTTATGTTCGAAAGTATGTAAAAAACGTAGATCTACGTTTGGAGCACTACGGATTTGAACGTCGATCTGTTTGGACCGTTTAAGGGTTAAGTATTTTTGTGTGAAATATCAGCACAATCAGTATTGAATGTTATGAACAAACAAGGCTAGCAAGTCTCTATTGGTCTGTGCAGAAGTAATAGTTTTCGCGTGGCCAAGCATGACTGCTTTAGGCACAAGAGACGGGAGTCAGCCGAAGCAAGGGTGCTTCCTGCTGGCCTTGGTGGGGAGAGGCAAGACTCTCGCAAGTCAGAGAGGCACAGTCGTGAGCGGGCAGAGAGCAAGAGCCTTCCCACGGGGCATCTCACCAACTTATCACAGGAGGACTGGCCTCCCCCGGGAGGTGATCTCAGTCCATTTTCACGCCCCCGCCACCATAATCGCCACCGCCGTCGACACCATACCCAGCATCTGCCGTAAGGATGCTGACTTGCCAGTGTGGTGTTTGTTTAACTGAATCCCTAATGTTTGAAGAGCACTCGCACACTTGGTTGCTCTCACAGTCTTCATAAATGCCCTGTCCTTATTCCCTTTCTGTTTATAAGAAAAATATGCTTGACAACTCTCCCTTCATTTAGAATTGCAAGTTTGGAGTATTAAGTGTTTATATTTGCTCTTAAAAATCTAGCTTCCAAAATCTTTGTACGATATAATTAAATATATCAGAAATCACTTCATTATGTCTGATTCAGTACTACAACATGCCAAACAGTAGTCAGCATTTAGCTATTTTTTATTCAATTTAAGTGTGATTTAAGGTAGACTTTATAGACAAATAGAGAAAGCTGGGGTAAGGGACTAATAAAAAGCTTTGTTGCTAATTAGAAGTAGTAAAGATCTCACCTTGTATGCTCTTTATGGAAATCTCTGAAAGTGATTCACATAAATGTTAAGACAAAGTCCAAGTCTTAGTGAATAACTTGAAAGCCTCATGTAATAGGAAGCTGTTTGACTGAACATTGTAATGATCTCAGTTATCACAATATAAAATTAAAATATTTTTCATAGTGTAGTAGGTTGATAAGTGTATATGCATAAATACGGAAACACACAAAAACACAGTAGGGCCCAGAAGGCTAGGAGAGTGAATCTGGGAAGCAGCCATGAGCTAGTTGAGTACATATAGGCGAGGTGAGTACACAAGCATGATTGTTACCCATCTGTTCAGTAAGCAGGAGTTAAAATTTCGAGAGTGATGTTCTAGGTCAGATACATTTATTTTTTGTACAAGAATGGTATACAATACCAACAAGATGAAAATTAAGACACGTGCAACATCTGGGTATCTTTATTGTAGACTTTTTGCCATCCAGTGGCTTTATCAATACAAATTCTAGAATTCTATGGCAAAACATCTGCAATAAAAATATCCAGATGTTGCACATGTCTTAATTTTCACATTTACTTTTTAAACAGCATGTGAAACTACACTCATATATAGGACTTTGGGAGAAAAGAGAGAAGAATGACTAGATTTTAAGAAAGAAAAATGTAATCATCTAATTAAGAAAATATTTCAAAGAAACAAAATAGAACTAAAAGCTGCGAGGAACATATTGACAAGTTGTTTGGAAAAAGTAGGTAATGTAGAAAAGTGAAGCCAAACCTTGAAAGAGCTGGTGGAGTGCCACAAGGATCAGTGTTTGACATGCTAATTTTTATAATTTATGTAAATGACTTGTCACAAAAATAATCAAAACGGTATTTAAATATGTTTGCTGATAAAGCAAGGATCTTATGTAAAATAAGGCTGGTGAGGTAAAAAAAAAAAATGCTAAATAAATTAAACAAAGGGAGTAATAAAAAGAGGACAGAATTTTTTGTAGATCAGTACCATGAAGTGGAAATAAATAAAAGTGATTGCAGACCACATGAAAAATATAGATTGTTTGACAGTATATTTAAGAGTTAGACAGGAGGAGGAATCTATGTGTTATAATAGACGAGCTATTGTCATTATAAAATCACATAAAGAGTGTGAAAAATTTGTTAGTTTTGCTGGCAAACTTTAAATCATCCGTCAAATATACAATACTTACAATACCAGTAAGTGCTAGAAAATGCTGTTAGTACCATATGTCATAATTGGAATATGTAGTTGTGGTGTGATATCTCCTAAGAAAATATTGAAGGTAATCACAGAAAGGGTAACAAAAGGATACAAAAAAATATATATGATTTCCTAATACCAGTAACAAGTAGAACAAAAGGCCACAGTTGTAAACTTGAGATAAATTGTGTTGAAAGATAACAAGAAGTTTTTTATTGCTTCTGAACAATGGAATGGGATATAATGGGAGATACAGTGGAACCCTGGATTTTGTCCAGTGCGGATATCATACAGTTCAGATTTCGACCACTTGTTTGGGCAAAATTTTACCCCGGGTTTCGTAGCTCTGCTTGGAAATTGTCTGTATCAGACTTGTCCGCCCGCCCGGGTTGCGGCCGCTCAAACGTACGTGACTCAGTCTGCCTCTGTCACTTGGTCAGTGAGGGTGGTAGTGATAATGGTAGAGGGTGGTAGTGGTTGTGATGGTGGTAGAGGGTGGTAGTGGTTGTGATGGTGGTAGAGGGTGGTAGTGGTTGTGATGGTGGTAGAGGGTGGTCATGATGGTGGTAGAGGGTGGTAGTGATGGTAGAGGGTGGTAATGATGGTGGTAGAGGGTGGTAGTGATGGTGGTAGAGGGTGGTAATGATGGTGGTAGAGGGTGGTAATGATGGTGGTAGAGGGTGGTTGTGATGGTGGTAGAGGGTGGTAATGATGGTGGTAGAGGGTGGTAATGATGGTGGTAGAGAGTGGTAATGATGGTGGTAGAGGGTGGTCATGATGGTGGTAGAGGGTGGTAATGATGGTGGTAGAGGGTGGTAATGATGGTGGTAGAGAGTGGTAATGATGGTGGTAGAGGGTGGTAATGATGGTGGTAGAGGGTGGTAATGATGGTGGTAGAGGGTGGTAATGATGGTGGTAGAGGGTGGTAGTGATGGCAAACAATCGAAGATGTTGAGAAGTTGTTGTTGGTGTGGATCAACGAAAAGCAGTTAGCGGGAGATAGTGATGTGGACGCGATAATTTGCAAAAAGGCCAGGCAGTTGCATGCTGATCTCATAAAGAATATGCCAACAAGAGTCTTCAATAAAGGTTAAAGTGATTTAAATGTTCATATATCCATTAAAATTAGTGCTTTATATTTATTTCTTTGTTTTCTGTATGTAAAATTAGTTATTCTCTAAAATGTATATTTTATTAATATTTTTGGGTGTCTGGAATGGATTAATTGGATTTACATTATTTCTTATGGGAAATATTACTTCATTTTTGTCCATTTTGGATTTCGACCGACCTTCTGAAACGGATTAAGGATGGAAACTGGGGTTCCACTGTATTAAGTTTTGTTATGACTGTAAATATAAAAATTATAATAGATTTAACATTAAATTTTTGATTCCACAGATTATGATAGATTAAACATTAAATATGGAATTCCACAGATATAGCTCTTCTTATAGCTATAAATAGGTACACAAATAGGTCATCTCTCTTTGAGCATCAGTCTGTAAGATCTACCTGTTCTTTGTAGTTTACACATTTGGGCTTGTAAGTGGTGTCTATAGGTCAGAGAGTAACATTTACAAGTGTCAGAAATAAAGAATTCCATTGGAGTGTAATAAGGTCAGTATGTAACCTAGGCCAGGTGCTGCGCCTCAACTGGATCAAAGCAACAATTTTGCATGTTTTGAAAATAGCATTTCTTTTGGATCATCTATGAACAAAGAAGGCAATACCAGTGCATAAAAGGCATTTAAAAAAATTATTAACTTGACCTAACCCTCAAGAGTTTTCTAAGATATACAGTTGAAACTTACATATAAAGCATACATATGTAAGGTAAACAAAAGTAAACAGTAATATATCGAGATAACTCAAAAGTTTGACAAATTAAGAAACACTGAACAGAATATTAAAGATAAAGGTTGTGTAGAGCAACGGGAAATTATATCACAACTCTAACATAAAAAACAAGCAACTAAGACAGTAACTAGAATACTGTACATAATAATATGTCTCTTAAGTGCAGCATCTCCACCCATTATTCAAGTAAGAATAGTCTTAGTTAATCTGCAGTAACTAAGCTAAGAGACATTTGACTGTTGACATGGGTCTAACTGAAACTAGTGAGAGAGAGGGGGGGAGAGTGAGAAAGAGAGTGAAAGAGTGAGAGTGAGAGAGTGAGAGTGAGAGAGTGAGAGTGAGAGAGAGTTTGAGTGTGTGTGAGAGTGTGTGAGTGTGTGTGAGTGTGTGTGAGTGTGTGTGAGTGTGTGTGAGTGTGTGTAGAGTGTGTGAGTGTGTGTGAGTGTGTGTGAGAGTGTGTGAGTGTGTGAGAGTGAGAGAGAGAATGAGAGTGAGTGAGTGAGTGAGTGAGTGAGTGAGTGAGTGAGTGAGAGAGTGAGTGAGTGAGTGATGTGGATCAAGCACATTGGTAAGAAAAACACTTCACACTATAGAAATTAATACCCCAAATAATAATAACTTTCAAATTTTTGGGGTAGACTTTCATAACCAAATGTAAAATTGATAATTGTAAATGCATACGACTCAGCATTTAGCAATAAATGGGAGAAAGAAAATTTTGACAATATAAGTGACCCGAGAAGGCAAAAATCATTACTGTCAGCACCTAAATTTATAAAGAAATAAAATATAATGCAAACAATAAGCAAATAGGCATCCAAATTTGTTAATGTAATGAGTTACTTTGTTTTATGTATTAGCACATTAAGGGTAACATGTCATTAGTATTTCAGTTGCTAAGTTTCTGTGAAGTCTGTTGAGGGTTTCAGGAATCACAGCACCTGTGGCCTGGTCTTAAACCAGTCCTTATAAATTGGACAGTTGATAAATGAGATACTTGTGCAACATTTGAGTATCTTTATTCTGGAAATGTTTTGCCATGCAGTGGCTTTTTCAGTCCAATGCAGAAAAAGGTGGAGGATGAGGAGTACTTTGAGGTAATCAGGTCCTCAGCCTGGAGTCGATGTGTTCAGTCCATCAATGGAGTAAATGTGTTTATTGATGCATTCAGTCCATCAATGGACTGAACACATCGACTCCAGGCTGAGGGACTGATTACCTCAAACTCCTCATCTTTCACTTTTTTCTGTATTGGACTGAAGAAGTGACTGTTGCACAAGTTTCTCATTTATCAACTTGTCAGTTTTGTAAAGCATTTATTCACAAATTTGGTCGTAAATATTTCAAGAACAAGAACTAAGAAACACAAAAAAGTAAAGGTAAATGTACACTGAATGTAAGTATAAATTTGTAAGACTCACCTGCCATCTTACATATGAGACTGAGAGGAAAGATAAGCAAATCTGCCAGAGTGTACAACATTTAACATGCTTCCATGTCACACTT